ATTTGAATTCAAGGTATATCAAATATTTCTATTTAATCTATAAAAAAATATGTATAAAAACATCGACATTCTTTTTGTGCGTTAAAAATAATTTTATTGAATTTTAATCCATATATGGCAGAAATTCTTTTACATATTTCTTGTCCACCTGTATTTTGATGAAGAATTTACATCTGATTTTTATCAAACTTCGTCTTGAAGGAATAACTCATTAATTATTACTTTAATGAAAATTACTAAGTTTTTCCAAGACACAATCACCCACATTAAAATAAACAGATCTGAAGGTTTTATAAGAAAAAAATCCACTTAGTAATGAAACTATTCTTACCTACAGCCATTATTTAAAATTTCTCTTGATTGTATTTGCCATCTAGTATACACGTTGCTCTATTCTCAGCGCTTTCTCGCCCTGAGCGCTCATAATCTTTTTGGAGCACTTGGAGGTAGCTTCTTATTGTTTTTTATTAGTAACTGCTTTATTACTATTTGTATAAAATGAAGTAGTTAATTCGATCACAAACTTGAAGCTATATATGAACTTTCATATGATAGTATGTCCTCACTGATTTTATCTTTTGAGTTTTAACGGTATTATTAAGATTTTCAGTTAGAGAGATCAAAGTACTCATATCATTCCGCTATTGTCTTATCTTCGATTGATCAGCTTCAACATTATTTTTATTGCCAATCTGGCTTGAAATAGTAATCTGAAATGTTTTTAAAATTTTCAAAATATTATTACCCTTCTCAAAAAAACACAGTCGACGCTTCGCCATATTTTGCACCTCTTCCAGTTCAAAAATTGTACGAATTCGTGAATTAGCTCTTGACAATTCATGTCCTCATGGAAATTATATTTTGCAAATTTTACTGTATCATTAAAATGTCTAGCCAAAGTGATCATATCATCCAATTTATTCAACCATTGTCTTATCAACGATTAAATAATTCCAAAATTATTCGCGTTGCCAATTTATATAGATACACTACATCTGGCATATTTTTTGAAACAATAAATTACAAATTCAATTAGTTTCTACAAAAAAAAAATTCAGTACAGACGTGTTTGATAGCAGCACTGTGATAAGAATTATTTCTGTTTTTTGGAGCGGGAAGTAAATCATCTATCCAATAAGTGCTCCAGTTTCTATATGATTCTAATTTCTAATTATTTTATCGTTCTCCAATGCTTAATCCATGTCCTCGAAAACTCTTTGGAATTTTTTATCGAAGTACTTACACCTTATAAAAATATGTTTATAATAGTCTGCCATCTTCTTGACAACCTTATTGTTGCGTTCAAAGTCTTGCCCATTTATGAGCTCCATTGTTGTAATTTACTTGAATGTTTCTTCATGCTTTTTGCATTTTTTATTACATTCTTTGCAATATTCTAGCACTTCCTGCTTTACCATCGTCATATCGTTGACGACCCCATGTAGGAAAATGTCGGCTCACGAGTCGGACGAATGATGGCCCGGAAACTTGAGAGAACTTCTGACGCGCTCCACCATTCCAAAGAGATAGTAATTATTCTCGTAGAATTTCAAGTAATTCTTCCAGCTCATTATCTCCATCATCCACCTGTTCAGCTTGCACATATCGACTAATTTTTTCGAATCTGCGATTTTCAATTTGAAGCATTGTTTGATCTGAGCAGCATTCTCCGACAGTTTCTTCACCTCTTTCAGAGGGCTGGCGCTCGGATCTATAGGTCTCGGCTCCAACATCTCCTTAAACACACTTAATTGTTGATGTAAATTATACAACATTTTCAGCAGATCCCCAAGTAACGTGCAGAATCTGTGAATCACATCTCTGGAGGCGTCAGTTTTGTCCATCGTCATGCATTCGATAATTTCGGTTTTGTGATGCTTGGCGGAATCGTCGATATTACCTCAAGTTCATAAGGATGTAATTAAAGAAGAATCGCGTAGGATGTTAAAAGAAGGGATCATAAGAAATTCCAATAGCGAATGGAATTCTCCCTTATTAGTTGTACCAAAACATGACAATGACGGGAAAATAAAGAAATGGCGAGTCGTAGCAGACTTTAGGAAGATTAACGAAGTAACCGTTGGTGACGCATTTCCGCTGCCTAATATCACTGATATTTTGGACCAACTTGGTAATTCGAAATATTTTTCAAAATTGGATTTAAGCCAGGGTTTTTATCAAATTCCCATCGAAGAAAATTCAAAGAAACTAACGGCATTTAGCACAGGAACGCAGCATTATGAGTATAACCGAATGGTTATGGGTATGAAAACTGCTCCTGCAACTTTCCAGAGACTTATGAATTCCGTTTTAATGGGTCTCCAAGGATTAAAATGTTTCGTTTATCTCGACGATATTGTCATTTATGGAAGAAGTTTTGAGGAACACAACAATAGATTGGTGGAAGTTTTCGATAGAATTAGGAACGCGAATTTAAAATTAAAACCAGAAAAATGTGAAATTCTGAGAAAAGAAGTTGTATATTTAGGCCATATTATTTCAAGCGAAGGAATTAAACCAGATCCGCGAAAAATTATAGATGTTAAAAATTTTCCAACCCCGAAAACTGTCAAAAATATTAAATCATTTTTGGGTTTAGCAGGTTATTACAGGAAATTCATAGAAGATTTCTCTAAAATAGCGGTACCATTAACGAAACTGTTAAGAAAAGAGTCAACGTTTCTTTGGACCGATTTAACTGACAAAGCATTCCAGACTTTAAAAGAAAAATTAATTACACCCCCTGTATTGCAGTATCCGAATTTTGAAAAACCATTTGTTTTAACTACGGATAGCTCAAATTTTGCGATAGGCGCGGTACTAAGCCAAAATTACACTGGAAGTGATCTTCCCATTGCATACGCCAGTAGAGTTCTGAATTCAGCTGAAACACGCTATTCAACTACTGAACGTGAACTATTAGCTATCGTCTGGGCAGTCAATCATTTTAGGCCTTATTTATATGGAGTCAAATTCACGATCGTTACCGATCATAAACCATTAACATTTTTAAAGAAAATTCAAGATCCAGGTTCTAGATTATTAAACATGAGATTAAAACTCGAAATATATGACTTTGAAATTAAATATAAAATCGGAAGAAACAATACTAATGCGGATGCCCTCAGCAGATTAATTCCTATCCCGGAACTAGCAGTTAGCAGTTAATGTAATTAATGTAACGAATGATTATAATGAATACTTAAATTTTATTGGCAAAAATATAGTAATAAATGATAGTATTATAGAAACCAATATATCATTGGATCATAACATAAATTTACACCAATCATTCCTATTAACTTTGACCTCAGATCTTGCAAATATGAATAATTTTTTCGATACTTTAAATAATAAATACAAAATTTTAGACGAAATTCTAATTAAAAACACAGAAAATGATAAATTCTTTCATATAGAGCAAAATAGAAAAATATTCCTATGTGCAATGGTCAAAAATACTATTAAAAACAAATTAAAATTGTGCGAGATATTTGAAATTTTGCATAAAATCAAAGAAGAATGTAATAATTTTAATATAAGGGATATAGCTATGTCAAAACCTGGTTTGATCGAAGGCCATAATTGGACTAAAATAAGAACCATGCTTAGATATATATTCAAAGATTCTGGTATACGAATAACTGTATATCATTCAAAATACAATCTAAATCTAGAAGAGAAAAATAAATTAATTAAAGAATTCCATGATACTCCGATAGGTGGACATCAAGGATTACATAGGACCTATAAAAAAATGAAAAGATATGTTTCTTGGAAAAATATGAAACACAGCATTCAAGATTACATAAAGAAATGTGTTAGTTGCCAAAGAAACAAAATGAATGTAAGGAAAACTAAAATGCCTTTAGAAATTACTTCAACCGCGCAAAATCCCTTCGAAAAATGTTTTCTAGATATTGTAGGTCCCCTAAATATTACCGATGATAAAAATAAATATATTTTAACCTTTATAGACGATATTTCAAAATTTGTTGTGGCATCACCGATACCAAATCAAGAAGTAGAAACGATTTCAAAAGCGTTTGTAGAAAACATTATTTGTAAGCACGGAATTCCGACAGAAATTGTTACTGACCAAGGCGCGAATTTTATGAGTGACGTATTTAAAAATGTTTGTAAGTTATTAAAAATTAAGAAAATTCACACCACTGCATTCCACCCAGAATCGAACGGCAGCCTCGAACGTTCTCATTTAGGATTAGTGGAATATTTGAGACATTTTATCAATCCAGATCAATCTGATTGGGATAAATGGCTCCCTTTTTATGGGTTTACGTATAATACTACCCCACATTCAGCCACAGGGCTTACACCTTTTGAAATTCTTTATGGACATAAAGCCAATCTTCCGTCCGCTATTTTATCGAAACCAGAATTTACTTATGCTTATGACGACTATGTCAGTGATTTACGCCAAAAATTAAGATATTGCCGAGACTTGGCACATACAAATTTAATAAATGCTAAGGAAAAATCCAAAGAAACCTATGACAAAAAAGCAAATGTGAAAATTTTCAATGTAGGAGATAAAGTCTTATTGTTCGATGAATCCATTAGAAAAGGAAGAAGTAAAAAACTTGGTCAGAAATGGATAGGTCCGTATACAATTATAGAGAGAAATTCGGATGTGAATTTCACTATAAACAAAGGAAGAAAACCATACAAAGTTCACGCAAATAGAATAAAGCATTTTTACGATTAAGTAATTATTCCTAAAAACTAACTTCGCTCATTTCTGTCTTGCAGACTATTAACAACACTCATGTGGATTATCCACGCCGAACCGGATTACTCTATCACTCACATAGCTCATTCTCCAGGGATCTATTTTCAAGATCTAGGATCATGCAAGGTGTATCATGATCAATGGAAACTACTAACCTATGTGGACTTTGAAGATTTATTTAGTAGAATAAGTAAATTATATACGAATATTTTTAGAACTAAGCAAACTTGTCAAAGCTTGGTAGATAAAGGCAAACAAATCGAGTGCGAAGCATTAGACAATTTAGAAATTAATATTAATAAATTGAAGAACGAAGAACAAATATTAAGCCAAATAGTAGACCACAATCCAAAAAGAGTAAAACGAGGATGGATCAATGCTATTGGCAAAGGATTAAAAACTGTCTTCGGAACAATGGACGAGGATGACGCTCAATTTTATTCATCAAAAATTAATCAATTTGCAAAAAATGAGGAAAGTTTAACTGATATTATTAAAGATCAATCTAACATCGTGCAGTCCTCAATTCACAGTTTTAATGAAACTACTTCAAAGCTAGAGTATAATGAAATGCTATTGATGAATAGTACTATTGCGTTGAAATTACTTGGAAATTCAAACGCAAAACACATTAACGACTTAACCTTGCAATCTAAAATAAATTCTCATGTTAGTCTCCTAAATTCTTTATTAAGCGAATACCAATTCGACTTATTTAACATTATTAACGCAGTTCTCAATTCCCAAAAAGGATTAATTCATCCATCAGTAATAACACCATTCAAACTGGTTGCGGAATTAAAAAAATTGCAAAGTAAACTACCAGAAGGACAATCATTCCCAGTAGACATTAACGAAGCAAATGCGCACCTATTACAAAAAACATTTAAATTAGATGTATATTTTCAAGACTTGAAGTTAGTTTATATTATCAAAATACCTTTGATTACCCATTTGGAATTTACCTTATTTAAATTATTCCCCTTGCCAAGTAAAGCGATGAATAACACTTTTACATTTTTGCAACCTTCATCAGAATATCTTGCTATTAATAAAAACATGCAAAATTACTTGCCTATACGAGAATCTCAATTCCAAAATTGTATAGAAATTTTATCAGGAAAATGTTTTATGTCCACTCACGCAGCCCATATTAATGGCTGCAACCATTGTGAAAAATTCACAAACTCTGATCTAGAAATGATCGTGTTAGATATGCAAACATTGTCAACTCGAATGAAATGCATGCTNAAACTGATTCTAGAAATTGTGATGTCCGTGTAATAGATATGGCTCACAACATTTGGATGCAACTTCAAAATGAAAATACCCGGAACTTTTAACTATCTCGTGTAACGATAAAAGAGATTCAACTCTACAGATTGAGGGAAACGGATTAATTTCTTTAAAGAAAAATTGCCACGGATACTCCAGAACTGCTATGTTAAAAACGACATCGGTATCAACCAATTTTGTGAAAACTTATTTTATTCCAACGTTCAACCTAATGTCAGAAATAATACCTAGGATCACAGAACATATTAAAGTAATAAATAATACAAAAACATTAAAGCGAACATCTTTAAATTTAAAGGAATTGGGGGAAACTAGTATTAAATTACACGAACTAGAAAGCAAAACCAATAAAGTTAAAGAAAATTTAGATTTAAAAGAAAAAATGGTAATTAGCCACGTAATGAATTACACTATAATTATTGTTGTCCTAATTATATTTACCGTGGTGATAATATCAATTTATTGTTATAAGAACAAATTCAGAACGGTTGAGTCAATGATAAATACTGTTAATAATATGATACAACCACCTCGATATCAGGCGGAAGTAGCATATATTCCAGCTACTAGAAACATTCAACCACGAAGTGCACCAAAAGCCATCGAGGAAGTGCATCAACAGCCGTCTTCATCTGCTCCAAGTGAAACATTGTTACGGTGCAAGTTTTGAAATGTGTTTCTTACAGATAACAAGTGACTAGTGTTTTCTGTTTATTTTATTTCTTTTAAATTATTTTATATCTCTTTTTACAGATTACAAATGTATCATGTAATCTGGCTATGTCTAATTGTTATGTATTTCCTTCAGATTACAAATGTATCGTGTAATCTATGTATTTTTAAATTTCTATTTGTACACTACAAATGTATTATGTACTCTATGTATTTTTAATAAGTTTTATATCTCTTACTCACTTGTGTTTAGTATTAGGTTCTAAATCTCATTTTTACAGAAAAGAAAAATGCTCATCAGTTTCTCTTCACGCGATTGTGGCACTACTCTTCTCTTGCGTACGTACTTCAACGCGGGAGGTGTTGTGGCCAACCACTTTATTATTAATTATTGATATATAACTACTATGTATATTCTTTATCTATGTAAGTACAGTCTTATGGAAAGCCCCTCGGAAACCAAACAAGCCTATCGGCACTTGAAACATCCGCTTAGAGTAATAAAACCATTTTAGAGAAACGATCTGTTTCTCATATTTTGTTAGTTTTACGACCCATTTGTGTCACCCGCTTGAAAGGGGCATTATGTGAAAATCGGGCAGCTACCTATAAAAACTATGCCGCCCAGAATTAACCTCTTCAAACAATTGTAAGATTTATCACCCCTTAGACCTTATCGACAGCGGGAGACAAACAAACCACCGCCGGCGCCTATGACGTACAGCGGAAGACATAAACAAATCTCCGCCGGCGCCTATGACGTACACCCCCACATCGCAAAATAGCCCCTACCCTTAGAATATTATTTCGTATTCAGTACGTCTTCTTACATATAAGACAACACTTATGTTATGTTAAGTTAGTTCTAGTTTGACTCTACTCTTGATCAGCAACCTATGCTTGAAGCAACTGGAAGCTAGATTAAGAATCACCTACATCTAAATGTTAAATAAATACATTAAAACACTGATTTGAATCTAGTCTCTTCCATAAAAACCCACTAGGACTCCACATCGACAAAACTACAAATTATTCCACAGTGTCCAGAGATATTCCATCCCGGGACACGACAAACCGACAGACTGCAGAATTGGATAGAATCAATCGAACGAATTGCGAGGAGACAGGGATGGAGCGAGGACACTTTAACGGTGAGAGTATCTTCCTGTATGAGGGGTAGTGCGAGGGATTGGTTTGAACTTTGGAAGCCAATTTCGTCAGAGGATAGTTGGGATAAATTGAAGGTTCATAGTTTTAATGCGACTGCGAATGTTGAGAAGATGTTCTACGACGCGGCGATTTTCTCTTCTGCTGGTTGCTCGTCATACTGCCATTCTCTTGGCAGAAGCGGGATTTGGTTTCAGTAATTTGCCAAGGTATTTCTAATGAATTTATACAGGTACAAGTTAGTCAACTGCGTTTTACTGATACTAGCCACTTGATTGATTGTTTAGAAGCTTATAGTTCTAGTCCTACGACCACTGTTGCGAATTTTGGTGGTACTGCTAATCCGTTACGTTCTAATACGGAAAAACCGCGTCATTACTTTAAAGATAATTCGAGAGATAATGTTAGGCGTACGTACGACCAAATTCGTTGTTATGAATGTAATAAAACCGGGCATAGGCGTTATGATTGTCCAGAGGTAAACACCAAATACGAAAATAGAAACTGTTACAAAGGTTCTGCTCAGCATAAGAAGCAACGTGTTAGCTGTTCCTATAGTCAGCGTGAAGGTCACGTAGAAAAAGATTGTTATAAACGTAAACAAAACTTAAGAAAAGACGTAAACCTTTGTTCGTCTCCGGAAAGAACAAATATTTTTCCAACCGAATTGGACACGTGTCCAGTGACAATAAATGGAACGGAGATACAAGCATTCGTGGACACTGGTTCGCAAGTTTCTTTAATTCGTAAAAATATGCTTATTAAATTAAAAGTTCAAACGATGGTAGTTGAAGAAAGTATTATGATTGCCGGAATTGGCGGAACAACATTTATGTCCGAGGGTTCTGTTAAAGTACTTTTGGAAACAAACAAGGCAAACTTAGATGTAATTTTTTATATAGTGCCTGACGACAAAATGTGTTGCTATGTCATTTTGGGAACGGATGTATTGAATAAAAAGGGTGTATCATTTTTCCGTAAAACTGGGTCGCATGTTATTGATTATGTAGATGCTGATTTATTAGTAAAAGCGTTGATATTAACGCAGAAATTAGTTCGGAAATAAATAACGAACAAGACATTTGTTCAGACCAGCTAATGCATAACGTAAATATGGATCCTCTGACTATGATAGATACTGATGTAACGGGAAAACACAAGGAAAACCTCTTGAACTGTTTAGCAAAATACAAAGATATATTTACAGAAAGAAATAAAATCCCTACACTTGTTAAAACTGGTATTTTAAAAATACGATTAAATTCGGACCATGAAATTCGCCTATCTGCAGCTCAACGTATTATTGTTAAAGATATCATTGATGATCTTATTACAATTAACAATACAATTATAAGAGAATCTAATTCTCCTTATGCCAGTCCTATGCTCTTAGTAAAAAAGTAGAATGATACTTATCGTATGATCGTTGATTACCGCGCATTAAATAGGATTACTGTACGTGATATGTATCCGTTGCCTCTAATCGATGACCAAATCGATAAAGTTTGTAACGCAAAATATTTTACTACTCTCGATATGGCTGCTCGATTCCATCAGATTCCAGTAGAAGAAAATTCTATTGATAAACTTGATTTTGTTACTCCGGACGGACATTATGAATACGTGCGAATGCCCTTTGGCCTTGCTAACGCACTAGCCGTCTTTCAACGGGCTATAAACTTGGCTTTGTCTTCGTTAATATAACAAGGAATAGCGATGGTTTATTTAGATGACGTAGTTATACCATCTATTAACATAAAAGAGAGCATTGAGCGTTTATTATTAGTTTTGTCAATACTGGCCGAAAACGGTTTTGCAGTGAATATAAGCAAATGTTTTTTTCTCAAAAAACACATATTGATTATTTGGGCAGAGAAATTACTATCGGAGAAGTGAGACATTGTAGAAAAAAAATAGAAGCGTTAATTAATTCACCAATTCCTTCAAACGTTAAGGAAGTTAGACAATTTATCGGCTTGGCAAGCTATTTCCGAAAATTTATACAAAATTGTTCTGCAAGAACTGCCTGTATTTCGCGATTAACAAAAACTGACGTATCATGGATTTGTGGGAGGGGTCAAGATGAGGCTCGCGATTATGTATTATCCTACAGTGCCCATATCTTTACATACAGATGCAAGCAGTATTGGTTATGGGGCAATTCTGTTTCAAAATCATGATGGTA